CTTCAAACATTACCTTCCCTGTTCTTTCCATTCACTTTTTCTGAACTCCCACTCAGCAGATACTGAACTTTCTTACCCATTCTTCACATCTCAAAACTTTTCTTTGAGATTTCTTCACTGTTCAATCTATATCCAATGTATCCTGTGTTGACTATATGTTTCGTTTCTAGAATTTCTGCTCAGTTATTTTTCAAATCACCCTGTTCCTTTTGGATATTATGTCTTGCTTCCTTTGTCTCTTTGAATAAATTAGACATACTCATTGTAGTTTTGTGTTGCTCTATTATTCCTGACTCTCGAGTGAAGACTTGGTAACTTCTTCAGGAGCATACTTTCTTCCTGTGGTTTGTAAGTTTTTGCCATGGCATCTGCAGCAGAGGGTGTTTTTGGTGCAGATCCAGTGAACCTTGTCTTGTTGAAGTCTCCCCACCCCGCAAGGGGGCTTTGTGCTTGCTTCCAACAGAGTTCTGTGGGTCCTGAAGCTTCACTTCCGGGGCCTCATACCACCTGAGGACTATGAATCTGGCCACACCCAGCATTTGGTACTGGCCTGGGGTTCCAATATTTTTCAGGTGACTATTTCTACCCATGTTGCCAGGAGATGACAAAGCATTTTTCCATTTTTGTAAGGCAGTAGAGTTTTTCTAGTCCGTATTTTACAGATAAGACCGTAATTTATTTATCTTAGTTTTATTCAGGTATTTCACTCCGCCTCCTCACACTCACAGGGTCTGTGATTTGGGCTCTCTTCTCTGCACCAGTATTAAACTGGTCTGTATCCAGTTCTGAAACCCTTAGGAACCATCTCAGCTTTAGGACACTCTTAGGATTTTGAGTTTTCCTTCTTTTGCTGATACCTAGGCTTCCTTCCTTCCAGTCTCCCTGCCTCTCTTATGTCCTTAGTACAGCTGGATTTAATATTTTAATTTGATCCAGCATTTCCGTGTGTTTGGAATAGGAAGAGGACTTTCACATCAACTCAGTCTGCCATATTTGCTGACATAATCTTAAAATATATTAGGTGCTCATTAAGACAATAGTGTGCTTACTGCATTAAAACATATATACACTATGACGGAAGTGATGGGTACTTAATAATACCTAGCTTTTATTAGATACTTGCTATTTGGTAAGAATTGTTCTAATTCCTTGGTGTGTCTTTACTCATTTAATTCTCATTTTATAAGGTTGGTACTATATTCAAAGATACACTCAAACTATATCATTCTTATTTTAGAGATAAGGAAACCAAGGCACAGAGGTAGTGAGTAATAGGATATTAAACCTAGCCAGGCTGGCTCCCAAACTGGTGAGATTTATTGAGATATTAACCAGTGTTAACTGACAAGGGAGCAAGAGGCAGGCTAAGGACAAAATACAGGTTGGCACCACCCCCACCCCCCACCCCCAGGTGGTGGCATATGTGTGATATTCCTCCAACATGCCTGGCTATCCAAGAACAAAGGAAAGAGGTTTAATTGCTTGTCATGGTGATGTGGGAAACTAAGGCAAAAAGAAATTAAATTCACTTACTGCCTAGAGCCCATTGACAAATCCTTGAGACCAGCAGAGTGACCTCCCTTTAGGAGCTCAGCTGCCTCAAGGATGACACTTTGCCAGGAGCAAAGGACAACCTTGGCTTAAACCCCACCTTAAATCTACTTCCTTTATCTCAGCTGCCCCAGGATATATGCTGGCAATCATGCTCCAAGCTTATGGCCTCTGATATGCATCAGAAGGGTCTCCTGATGATAAATGGTGTTTCCCTAGCAACAGCTAGCTCCTCAAGGTCCTGGAAGCCTTGCTTCCGAAATTCCTTAGAGACTTACTCTATCCCTGACCCCCTTCCAACCTGAGGGTATATCATCAGTTACCCATCAGGACCCCAGTGCAGCTCTTCCTACCATTGGGTCCTGTCCCCATGCTTTAATAAAATCACCATTTTGCACCAGAGACGTCTTCAAGAATTATCTCTTGGCCATCAGCTCCAGACTCCACGGAATCCCCCATCACCCCAAAACTTCATCACTAAGTGTAGAATTTGATTTGACAAATGTATACAGTTGAGTAACCACTGCTACAATCATGATATCTATTAGAAGATTTCTATCACCCCCGAAAGTTCCCTTTGTCCCTTGGTAGTTGTCTCTTCCCCCATCCTCCCTAGCAAACACTCATCTGTTTTCTACAACTATAATTTTGCCATTTCTAAAATGTTATATGAATGTAATCATTTAATATACAGTGTCTGGCTTCTTTCACTTAGCATGATGTTTTTGGGATTCATTCATAGTGTTGCAAATATTGAGGAGCCTGAAATTAAGGCCTCCATTAAGAGCAACCTCAGGCTGCACGTAGCTCCAGTTCCAGGAAAAGCTTCAGCTAAAGCCACCCTCGGGCCACCCTAGGATCAGCCAATCAAAAGAAATGTGTAACATTCCTGTGGTCTGAGTCAGGGCTGGGAACTGCAGATACTCACTTTGTACAAACTAGCCAATCACTCACTGCTTGCCTAAACCCCACGTAGGCCCTTTGAGCTCACCTCATAACTGGTCATTTTCAAAGGATTCTCAAAGGTCATGATTGGGTCCCACCAAAAGCAACAGACACCTCACAGATACTAAATGGTCAAAACTGTCACCATGGGTGCTGTACAATTGTAATTGGAGCCTATGTGATGATGCTATACATACAATGTGTGCACTGTAACACCCCTGTCCCTTACCCCATAAAAACCCTGCTCACTATTGTTCGGGGCTTCACCCTGCTGCCACTGCGCCGGTTGACAGGTGAGCCCCTGCTCGAGCTTGTAATAAAGATCCTTATGTACTTGCATCAGTGTCGGCTCCTTGGGGGTCTCAGGGGACTCACAATTCGGGCACAACAATATTAATGTCCAAAGGGGTACTTGGAAGGCTCACCTGTTAAGCAATTGACTCTTGGTTTCGGCTCAGGTCATGGTTTTGTGGTTCATGGGATGGAACTCTGCAGCAAGCCCAGCACTGACAGTGTAGAGCCTGCTTGGGATTCTCAGTCTCCCCCTCTGACTGCCCCTCCCCCCTTTCTCTCTCAAAATAAATAAATAAACATTAGTGTTCAATACTTTAATCACTAAATAGTATTCTACTAGTTATGTATCACATAATAGATATCACATTTGGTTTATTCATTAATGGATATTTTGACTGTCAGTTTGGGGCTCTTACAAATAAAGCTGCTATAAATATTCACATACAAATCTTTAGATGGAAATGTTTCAATTTCCCCTGGGTAAATATCAACATGAGTGATATTGTGATTTATAATAAATATATATGTGGTCTTTCCATTTCTAGCTCAGGGCTTCTGAAACTCTTATAATTTCCTAAGTGTAGAGAGAGACTAAGTGTCTCTTGTTATGTTAAAGAGGTGACCTTTGGATGAGGGCTGGTTGTCAGGGGAACCAACCCTGTGATTAGGTGACTTCAGTCCCGTTCCCCTGACCTCCCCCAGGGGCTGGAGGTTGAATTCATCACTAGTGCCCTCAGGGCCAATGATTTAATTAGCCAAGCCTCCAAAACAAACAAAACAGAGTGGGGGGTGGGGTGGGAGAGCTTCCTCGTTGGTGGACACACGGAGCTCCCGAGAGAGTGTTGTGCTCAGGGAAGGCACAGAAGCCCTGTACCCTTTCCCTGTGCCATGCCCTGTGCACCTCTTCCATCTGGCTCTTTCTAAATTACATCCTGTTTTGTTGTTGTTGATTTTTGAGAAAGAGAGCAACAGAGCACAACCACAGGAGGAGCAGAGAGAGAGAGAGAGAGAGAGAGAGAATGCAAAGCAGGCTCCAGGCTCTGAGCTGTCAGCACAGAGCCCGACACAGGGCTCTAACTCACCAGACATGAGATCATAACTTCAGTCGAAGTTGGATGCTTAATGGATTGAGCCATCCAGGCGCCCCAAATTCTATCCTTCTATAATACACTGATAATCTAGTGAGTAAACAGGTTTCCTGAGTTCTGTGGACTGCTCTAGCAAATTCGTCTAACCCAAAGTAGGATTTGTGGGAACCTCTAATTTATAGCTAGTAGATCAGCAGTACAAATAACAACCTTGGCTTATTGTGATTGGCCTCTGATGTAGGGGAAGAGATGAGTGGGTAGTGTCAGAACTGAGCTGAATTGTAGGACATCCAGCTGGTGTCCTGACAATTTGAGAATCTGCCTACCCCCCAGCTTGGAACTGGGTCCCAGAACCCAAGAGAGCACTGAATTACAACATTATATGGTAAGAATATGTTTAGCTTCTAAGAAACCGTCAAACTGTTTTCCAATGTGGCTGTACCATTTTGCATCCCCACCATCAACGTGAGAGTTCTAGTTGCTCCATTTATTCCTCAACACTTGGAATTATTAGTCCTTTCCATCCTAGCCTTCTAGTGACTATATTATGATATCTCATTATGGTTTCAATTTGCATTTCCCTAATGACTATGACAGCATCTTTTCCTAAGTTTAGTTGGCACCTGTAAATCTTCTTTGATAAAGTATCTGTTCAAATCCATTGCTCATATTTCAGTTGAGTTGCTTGTCTTTTACTTATTGAATTGTAATAGTTCTTTACATATTCTGAAAATAAGTCCTTTACCAGGTATATATTTGACAAAGTTTTTCTTCTCTGTGCAAAGCCTGTACTCTTAATCACCACTTACACTGCTTCTCACTCTTTATTGAAATAATTGGGAAACTTCCACCCCCCCATTAATGGCCTCCTCCTGCTAGTATTGGCGGCTTTGTAATGAATAAGGGGTAAGGGAATCCTGTTGAAATTTTTGTTTAAAGACTCAGAGTTCACATTTTCACTACTAACTATCTTTTTTTTTTTTTTTTTTCCATTTTGGTACAGAACTGAACAGTCCTTCCTTGGATTTGAAAAATTGATGAGATCACAGCTAATGATTACATCTGAATTCTCTAGCTTTACAATCCATTGAAATAACTAGACACCTCTCAGCTACATAAACACTGCTCTGGGCAACTGGTGCTGAGGTGCCCTGTTTTAAATTTACTAGTTGTTTTATTTCCTTATGGAAAAAGACAGTTTCCAGAAGTCAGAATTAGAGAAAAGTAGATCTTCCAAAAGAACTATTCCCAAAAGAATTATCCATTTCGTTGATGGAGACATCATGGAAGAATATAGCACAGAGGAGGAGGAAGAGGAAGAAAAAAGGGAACAGAAAACAAATTCAACACATGACCCTGTAAGCTTAGAGTATCAATATTAGTAAACATGGGGGCTGAATGAGATTAAGCCAAATAAGGTTTGTAGAAAATACAGTTTTAAGCTAACTCCTTGTTCCCCTTGGTTTGCTTCCTAGATCCATTTATAGTCAACTCATAATTTTGATAACTTTATATTTCTCATGTATGAGAAAGAAAATGTAATATTCTATAAACCATTTAGAAACCTCTACATGAAACACGTATATCACCACTCTTGTTATTAATTACTCTAACTTGATTTCTCTCTTTTGTTTTCAGTCTAAACTTTCATGGCGGTCATACCTATGGTTTTGGGCAGGGCAAATAGCAAGCAACTCATTTTCAAGTAAGTACTGCCCAGGTTATTTATTTATTTATTTTGTCATAAATATGAAATGTAGACTTATAGACTCTCAGTGTTAGTTGGGGCTTCCAGTAGTTTAACCCACTCCGTGGCATCCTGAAGAAGGAACAACCCAGTCCCTTCCTGATCCATGCTTGAACATTTCCAAAGGTGCAGAACCTCACATCTTCCATCTCATTCCAACTCTTATTTAAGTAAAGTCTACCTTATATTTTGTCTTCTTTTAAAGTTATTCCCATTGATCTTAGTTGCCTTTCTTAAGGTCATATAAAACAAGTCTAGATTCCTCTTTCACAGGACAGAGTGTCAAATATTCAAAGACAATAGCCTTCCCCCATCCTCAAGTTGATTCTTCACCTGAATAAACTTCCAAGGTTTTTTTTAAAAAACTATTTTTATATGACAGGGTTCCAAGTTCTCTCATCATAATCACTCTGTTATGAACAAGGACTTTATGGACCCTTCCCAAGGATACAGTGAATGGCCTAAGTGCCTATTTACAACAGATGAAATACTGAATCTTATTTTGCTCAACTTTCACCAATTTTCTTTAAAACACAATTGGCAACATCTAATTACTCATTGCCTTCTAATTCACATATACTTGTTTATACAGCGGGAAGGAAACAACTTTAAAAAATTAAAAAATAAAAATTTTAGAAAACACAAAGTATAGCTATAACTCTGAGGAACTGGTCTCCATTCATTCATGAAATAAACATTTATTGAGTGCCAATATGTGTTTGGCACTGTGCTGGTCCCTGGGACACAAAGACAAATGACAATCTTTGCTTTCAAAGGACTCCATATTCAATGAATATTATAGGCTAGTAAACATACGTATAATTATAATTTGTTGTCACGACCTCCAGGGTAGAAGGAGTATAGGGGCCAGGGACCACTGATGGGGAAACTCAGTAATGCTGATATATGACTTGAGAGTGCTATGAAAGTATGGCTAAGGTGAGCTTAGGGATCATGATAGTCACTGGGGGTGGAGAAGGAGAGGGAAGTCTTTAAATTACAGTAAAAAGTAGTGATGGGTGGTTTAGTCAGATGGTATAAGCCTCAGAGGAGCAAGTGCTTTTACATCAGGATAGAGGGTGAGAGATTTGTAAGTTCCTTTGGGAACTCAGGTGAGATACCAATCTTACCTCAACCATAGTACATTGGCAGAAAAAAATGCTATCTTCTAGAGAGCTCTATGCTTTTAGCTGGGGCAAATTTGTTTAAAGAGGCGAAATATCTTGGGGGGAGAACACCCCAGGAGATTAGGTCAAGTAAAAGAAGCAAATCTCAAAACAGCGATATTTTGTGTTGGGCTGTGACTGAGGATGGCAGGGACAGAACACACGGGGAATCAAGCTGCCTTCAAGGCAGGACTGTAGTGTTCAAGTGCGTCTGCTTGGGGCTTCCAGGCTGTAGGGGAGGCATACATATGCTAGCAGTCAGCACCCTGGCTCTATATAGAAACTTTGGATAGAGCTGATGCCGAGATGAAACTGTAATTAGTGTTTTCAATATAAAATTATAGTAGGTCATAAAAAGGAAAACGTTCTAAGATTTATTCTAATGTTAAAATTTTTAAAAAATGTTTATTTATTCTTGAGGAAGAGAGAGACAGAGTGTGAGTGGGGGAGGGGCAGAGAAAGAAGGAGACACATAATCCCAAGCAGGCTCTAGGCTCTATGTTGTTAGCACGGAGCCCAATGCGGGGCTTGAACTCACAAGCTGTGAGATCATGACCTGAGCTGAAGTCGGACGCTTAACTGATTGAGCCACCCAGGTGCCCCTATTCTAATGTTTTAGAAACTCCTCTTAGATACATGTGCTGGGCACTGTGGCAAACAAACAGATTAAACAGCTAGAGTGTTTCTGAAAAGACAAAACATATTTTAAAAAATGGAGAGCACTATTTTGATATACTCTATGAGCAACATCCCAAGAAGAGGAAACAGCCTTAAGTATCAGAAAGTTGGGTTGTGGGGGTCAGGGTGTCAGAAATCTTATAATTCTAAAGGAAAACATTTCTAGGTGTTTAGGAGACACTGTCAGGAAACCACTGTTAATGCTAACCCTTTATTCCCAACTTTCACAACCAAAGCATCTATTCTGATTGCTTAGGACCAACACTGTACCTGAAAGTAGGTATTTCGAAAATCTCTCCTGACATACCCATCTGGAAAGGATTGTTTAGATGTAATCCCAGGTGAAGACAGAAGATTTCGCAATTCCTTGTGAGTCCTAGAACTTTCTGAGAGTCCAGAGCAATTGAAATCTTTGTCAGCCTTAAAGTTAAGTGCAGTAATGGATCACCTGCAGGCAAGTTTAAACTCTGTCACTTCAACTGATGCTAAGGTCTAGTTATTAATTCAACTTACCAAAGTGCTTGTTCTTTCTTTTAGCATGTGAATTTCTTGGTGGAAGATTTGCTACCTTCTTTGGTCTTACTCAACCTAAATATCAGTACGTGTTAAATGAGTACCATAGGACACAAAATAAGGTATGTGACATCCTGATGGAAGCCACCAAGAGCCCTGATGTGGGAAGGTTGGTTGCTTCCACTTCAGGCCCCTAGGAAGCACTTTCCCACCTGGTAGCCATGTATAATTTCACTTCACGATGCTTCGTATTTCCCTTCTTGTGTGAAGCTAGTTGGACGTGAAGATGGACATTGTCTAAAGAAAGTTCTTGCAGGGGTGTCTCTGAAAGAGGGGGAGTTCAAAAATATTTGGTTTACAGTTAAATGTTTCCTTATTTCTCTCCATACCAGGAAAGTGACAAGGAAAGTAAAGGGAATGGATCAAAGGCCCAGCCAGCCAAGGTTCCTAATGAAAAGTGTCATCTGGAAGCTGGGGGCCAAGAGTATGGAACGAGACAACAGGAGACTGCAGAGAGTGCTCCTCAGTGGAGCACCTCATCCAGGGAAGCAGCCGATTTCAGCTCATAATGGGCAGCAGGACTGTGGTTCCTCTGGCAGTCTGTTCCTCCACCACTGATGACCCTGGCAGCAGCCATAGGTAGTGCTGCTGAGCCAGACCTGATCTTCATCTCCTTGTCATTTATTCTCTAGCATCCAGTGATTATGAAGCAGTGATGAGAATAATTATGGATGCTTTTTTAATTTTATAAGCCTCAACTCAATTCCCCCCCCCCCACCTCTTCCCTGGTTGTGATCTATTAGTATTGACACTTGCACAGAAGTGTAAATGCCTTAAGGAACTTGGATCTGATAGTTTTGGGGCTGAAATGCTTCATCATGGGGGTAGGGTGCAGAAAAGTATCTCTGTTCCTTAGAAGAAACTTTGGGCATCACAAAGTCTAAGTAAGTCACCTTTCAAGGTTTGATGTAAGGTGGGTGCTTCCCAGTAGCCACCCTGGTTTAGTTGGGGCTTGTTTTACACTAAGCAAACATTGCTAGTAATTCTGTTTCAATACATCAAAGTTTTTGAGAAATGGGTGCATTTCTCTCCACACAATTAAAAAAAAATAATAATAGCAATCTAAACTCTAGAAAAAGCATTTGGAAAAATGGATGTTTATTTGTCAGCAAAATTTCAAAACCTGGTAAGATCAAATACAGAAATCATAGCTAGATATCACTGGTCGAGCTGGCCAGAGGTAGCTGTGATATGATGGAAAACATAGGACTTGTAGTAATAAGACCTGAGGTCAAGTCTTAATTCTCCCATTTACTAGCTGTGTGATTTTAGTCGATTTCTGAGCCCTAGTCCCTTTCTTTGTAAAATAGGGTGGCATATATTTATTCCTCAAGGGTTGTTGTTAAACAAAATGAGATAATAAAGTGGAAACTTTTAAAAGTGACTATTTGATGTTAATGCTTAATTAATGGCTGTTATAGATGGTTACACTGAAAGTCCCCAAAAAACCATGCCTTCTGGAATTCATGCCCTGGTACAGTCCCAACTACATTGACTCTAGGCTTGGCCATGTGACTTGATTCAGCCAATGAGACAGTAGCAAATATGATGCCAGTGGAGGCTGATAAGCACTTGCAAATGGGAACATGTGGTCTTAGAAATTCCACATCATAAAGAGGTTTGGGCTAGACTTCTGAATAGTAGGCCAGATGGAAAGAGGTTCCCCAGGATGAAAGACTGTCTCACATATTCCAGTCCCAGCCACGCTCCTCACCAAATGCAGCCACATAAGTGACCTTCTGTTATCCCGTGTGGAGCAGATGAACCCTACAGCTGAGCCCAGTCAACCTGTAGAATCATGAGGAATGAGAAATCATTACTGGTTTAAGTTTTGGAGTGGTTTGTTGTGCAGTCCTATGTAACTGAAACAACAGCTCTAAGACAAGGGGAAGTTGGGGTTGATTTGATATGAAATCAAGAAGAAGGCCTGGAGAATAAGGTGTAAGGTATAGTTCATTGAATATATGATAAGACAAGTGTTGCTACATAATCAGACGACTAAAATCTCAGTGGCCTGAAACAACACAAGTTTACTTCTTTCTCATGAGAAGTCCACTGTCAGTTGAGATGGCTTCCCAGAGTATCCTCCATGTGTTGACTAAGTGGTAGATGAATCTTTGATCTTCTGGTTCCTCTGTGATGCCTTCAGGGCTTCTGAGGCAGAAATGGAGAGGATAGGTAAGCACTGGCAATCAATCTCTCCACTAAGAATGAATCCTGTCACATCTAATTATGTTTCTTCCACCAAAGCAAGTCACATGACCACAATTAACAATAAGGGGTGTGAGCCTCCTAAGAGAGCTGAGGAGGGGAAACACTTCCTTCGAGTGGCAGTATGGGATAAATGATAGGCTCAAGAGTCAATAGATATTGATTTAATCAGCTCTGCTGCCTCTTTGTAGCCCAATGGCCCTGTGCAAGTTATTCAGTTTCCCAATGTTCCTGTGTATGAAACAGATTTGATACAGGAAGCAAATTCAATTTGAACTAGCTTATGCAACAAAAAAATATTTTTTTGGAAGGATATTGAGGTATCTCATGGACCACAAGGGCACATAAATTTCAGTAGGTCTAGAACAAATCTGGTAAACACATACATAAGCAATACCATCTCCATGCCTCAACTTTCTTACACATGAGGAAGAAAGATCACTCCATTGGTCTTTTATTTTGTAATCTTAATTTATTTTTATCGAGATATATTTGACCTATAATGTTGTATTAGTTTCAGGTGTACAACCTAATGATTAATGTTTGTATATTTTGGCAATCATCACCACAATTAGTCTAATTAACATCCACCACATAGTTATAAATATTTTTTCTTGCAAGGAGAACTTTTAAGATCTACTCTCTTAGCAACTTTCAAATATACAATATTATTAACTATAGTCATCATGCCTTATGTATTTTATAAATGGAAGTTTGTATCTTTTTTTTTGATTTAATAAAGTTTTATTTTCCAAAATGTACAGTTGGTGGGATCTGTTCATGCATCTTCACCAGCAGCTAGGGCATCTCCGCCCTTGGTGTTTCTGGTGTAAATTACTTGAGCTCTGTGCTTTGAAACCAGTTTAATAAGTCCTTTACTAAGGAGCTCCTGAAGCGCTGCCCTGACCAGGGAACCTCGAATCTTCAGTCTCTCAGAAACAACAGCTGGAGTTATAAGCTTATAATTGGGAACTTCCTTACAGAGTTTGTCGTATGTTGCTTTGTCAAACAAGACCAGGTTATTGAGCTTGTCCCGAACTTTGCGTTTGGACCACTTCTTGTTTTTGGCCTTGCCTCCAGATTTATTCACTGGATCTTTGTCTTTTTTGGCCGATTTCCCGGCATCTTTCTTCTTCTTGACGTCCTTGGGCGGCATAGCTAAGCTCAGAGAGCAGCGGCCACCCCTGCAACCTGGAAGTTTGTATCTTTTTTTTTTTTTAATGTTTTATTTATTTCTAGGAGAGAGAGAGAGAGACAGCGTGAGCAGGGGAGGGTCAGAGAGAGAGGGAGTCACAGACTGAAACAGGCTCCAGGCTCCGAGCTGGCAGTCAGCACAGGGCCCGACGCGGGGCTCGAACCCACGAACCGCGAGATCATGACGTAAGCGAAAGTCGGACGCTTAACCGACTAAGCCACCCAGGCGCCCCTGGAAGTTTGTATCTTTTGACTACCTTTCACTCATTTCACCCACCCAACATCCCTCACCTCACGCAACCACCAATCTGTTCACTGTATCTAGAAGTCTGGATTTTTATTGTTGCTTTTGTTTGTCGATTGGTTTGTTTTTAAATTGCACATATAAGTGAGATAATGTTGTATTTGTCTTTGGCTTATTTCATAAGTCAGTATAATAGCTGATTTAATATGACTTACCATAATAATGTCCTCAAGGTCCATCCATGCTGTTGCAAATAGCAAGATTTCCTTCTTTTTGTGGCTACATCATATTCCACTGTGTGTGTGTGTGTGTATCACCTTTTCTTTAACATTCATGCACTGATAGTTGCTTAGTGTTTTGGTGATTGTAAATAGTGCTGGAATAAACATGGTGCATTTATCTTTTTGAGTTAGTGTTTTCATTTTTGGGGGGGGAAATGCTCAGAAATAGAATTGCTGAATCATGTGGTCATTCTACTTTTAATTTTTTGAAGAACCTCCATACTGTTTCCCACAGTAGTTGCACCAATATACACCACCACCAAGAATGCACAAATGTTTCCTTTTCTTGACATCTTCACCCACAGTTGCTTTTTCTTGTCTTTTTGATGATAGCCACTCTAACAGATGTGAAGGAATACCTTCTAGTGGCTGTGATTCGCATTTTCCCGATGATTAGTGTTGCACGCCTTTTCATGTATCTGTTGTTCATCTGTGTGTCTTTAGAAAAATGTCTATTCAGATACCGATGTTCTTCCCATTTTTTAATTGGATTAAACATTTTTTTTTTAGTTTTTATTTTTTGCTATTGAGTTATATGAGTTCTTTATATATTTTGGGCATTAGCTCCTTATCAGATTTATGATTTGCAAATATTTTCGCCCATTCACTAGGTTGTCTTTTCATTTTGTTGATGGTTTCCTTTGCTGTGCAGAAGCTTTTTAATTTGATGTAGACCCACTTGTTTATTTTTGCTTTTGTTTTTGCTTTTGGTGTCAAGTCCATAGCATTTTATAACTCACGTGTTCAAGTGACTGTCCCTCAGTCCCAATTCCAAACATACAGGACACAGAATCTGATTAGCCCTTTTTGCTCAGCTGACCATCCCTTCCTTCAATCAACTGTGACCAGGAAAGTGGAGCCATGTAGCAGCAACATGAATTTAGGACCTATTTCTGGGTGAGCATGAATCTCAGGAGAAGAGGATTAAAGTAAACAAGGCAGATATACCCGTGACTGTTGTAAGGATAAAATGTGAAAATGAGGGAAAGCACATGGCTCCAATTAGGTACTTAAATCATAATATGAATTGTAATTATTAATATTGATGCGAATTGTGGGTTGAAGGAGTCTGAATGGTTTATCTTCACCAAGGAGTCAATCAATCTTAGTTCTTCATCTGACAGGCCCTGTTAGTTCAATTTCAAGATAAAGTAAATCTGAGGTTATGATGTGGCAGAAAAGTGGCCAAGCCTACCTACCAGTTAAGCATTGGTCATTTGTGTCTCAGGTGTCAGATCACACTAAAACTGTCTCTGCTTTATTTGCTAAGTTGCCTCTAAATAGACCTCATGATGTACTCTTTTTTACTTTTCTACTTTTCTCATAAGTAGCCTGAAAGATATCCACTTAGTGCTGAGTCTAGAGAACCAGGCAAACCAAAGTGTGATATGTGCAAGAGTGAACTTTATCCAGCAAACACGATACTCTCAATCTTTTCCTCTGAAAGGATGGAGGTTGCCTTCCCTTACGGTCAGTGATTGCAAACCAATCCAATCTTGAGCTAAATGTATTAATGAAAACAAATGGAAACCAGCATCCAGAGCTCCAGGAGGTGGCTGCAAGGTCAGTTCACATTTCCCTTAATATTAATTCATTCTTTTAATACTGATTGGGCATCTTCTATATACCAGTTACTGTTTTAGGTGCTATCAGCCAAAGAGACAAGAATCTCTACTCCTTTTGGCCTTAAGTTCCAGACAGCTAAATTATCAGGACGTCCAGGCTTTGTGTGGCCAGCCTCTCAAATGGTCCCAATAATCTTTGCCTCCTGGTACTCCCATCCCAAGAAGCCCTTCCCAAATTGAACCAGGGTTGTCTGTGTGACCAACAGAATATGTCAGAAGTGACACTTCTGAGAAAATTATAAGAGAGACTATGGCTTCTGCTTTGGTCTCTTTCTTAAATCACTTACTCTAGAGAGAGCTAGCTGCTATGTTGTGAATACATTCATGCAGTCTATGGACAAGTCCGTTTTGTAAAGAACTGTGGTGTCCAGCAAATAGCCAATGAGGAACAGTGGAATTCTGACAGATCAAGTTTCTCCCAAAAGCCAATTATGGTGTCCCCACTCCTCTGAACAAGGTCCTCATGGCTACCAGGTCACAGACCCGCTGGGGACCCCCTTGCTCAGAATGCCGCAGGATCCACACACGCACCTCCCTCTCCTGACCCAGGACCCCAGGAGCAGAGGCCTCTCGGCACCCAGGACTACCAGGTGTCTCTGATAGGAGGTAACCCTAGCCAGCCCTGCCTGGCCCAGGAAAGACTTTTGAGCTCCCCCAAGACCCTGTGCCTTCAGGGGCAAGGGCCATATTGGTTAAGTTAAGGCTTAGAATTATTCAGATGCTTTGGCTCCCCCAAGAGC